GAGCACAGACTCGAGCCCAAGTGTCTAGCCGCTCCTGGAACACTGGCTCTCGCTGCGCAGGGCGCGTGGGGCTGAGGGTTTGTTTGCCCCGCCCACAGCCAGAGAAGTTCCTGGGGCTTGGGCAGTGGGGTCCTGATGCAAGCGCTGCCCTCAGGGAGTAGCTGGGAAATACCTGGCTCTCTCCGTGCGTTTCAGCTGGGAACCGTGGCAGTGTGGATGAGCACAGACTCGAGCCCAGGTGTCTAGCCGCTCCTGGAACACTGGCTCTCACTGCCCAGGGCACATGGGGCTGAGGGTTTGTTCACCCCGCCTGGCTCTCTCCGCGGGTTTCAGCTGGGAACTGTGGTAGTGTGGGCGAGCACAGACTCGAGCCCAGGTGTCTAGCCGCTCCTGGAACACTGGCTCTCGCTGCGCAGGGCGCGTGGGGCTGAGGGTTTCGAAAGATAGTTTCTTTAATAAATGGTGCCAGAAAAACTGGATTTCCAAATGCCTAAGACAAAAACTAGACCATGTCTATCACCACACACTAAACTAAAGTCAAAATGGATCAAAGATCTAAATATTAAAATAGAACCACTAAATTTACTGGAAAACAAAGTTGGCAAAAAATCTCAAAGACATAGGTGTAGGCAGAGACATTAACAAAAGCCAGACAGCAAGGAAAATACTACAAAGAATCAACAAATGGGATCTCACCTCATTAAAAAACTGTTGCACAACAAAAAAATGACAGACAGAATGAAAAGACAATGCACAGCGTGGGAAAATATTATAGGCAGTTGTTCCACAAACACAAGACATATCTAGAACATGTAAAGATTTGAAACATCTCAGACACCCCAAATCAATAAGTGGGTGTCTGAGATGAATAGGCACTTCTCAGATGAAGAAATGTAAATGGCAAATAAATATATGGAAAAAGTTCAACATCATTGACTATTCAAAAGATGCAAATTAACACAACACTGAGATTCCATCTCACCCCAGAAAGAATGGCTATCATCAAAAAATTAATCAATAACAAATTCTAGGAGGACTATGAAGAAGTCCTTCTACATTGTTGGTGAGAGTCTAGACTAGTGCAACCACTGTGGAAATTAGTGTAGAGATTCCCTTAAAAACTAGGATTAGAAGTCCCATTCAAATCAGATATTCCACTTCTGGATATTTTCCTAGAAGAATTAAAAACATCATGCCACACTGATTTATGTGCACCCATGTTTATAGCAGTACAATTTGTAATAGTTAAATCTTGGAAACAGCTCAGGTGCCCATCAACAGAGGAATGAATAAAAATCCTGTGGTTTTCTCAATATAATGCAGTACTACTCAGCCGAAAAGAAGGATAAACTTGAAAATTTTATAGGTAAATGCATGCAACTCGCGGCCACATTCATAAGTGAAATAAATCAGACCCATATGGGTAAACATTATATTGTCTCACTAGTGTAAGAAAATGAACAAGGAAATAAGTTACAAAAGGAATAAAGGGAAAAAGGAAAAAATAAATGTGTACACAAGACAGTTAAGATAGTTATACAGCTAATTTCTCTTAGTTCATTAAAAACTAAGTTTTGTGCTAATGTTTTATGGACAAGATATCTATATCTCTTCTACTATGAATAACTACTGTGAAAACAACAGTATGCAAAGTATTAACTATTGTAACTGTCCTACTAACTTGTTTGGAAACTCAGTTTCATTATTATGTTTATCTTTTCTTCTCCTTAAAATAATAATAGGAATGAGGAACATGGTTGAAAGTAAAGCATAATCCAACAGAGCTGGTTGAAATGCCTACATATCAGCAGTCAGCACAGAGGTAATAACTGTCTTTTGTAATTGCAAGCCTGGCATTAACATGCTGAAAAGTAACCTGGCACTATTCAGATGATCATGTGATATTTGTTCAGTATTCTCCTGATACAGTGCAATACATTTACTGATTTGCATATTTCAAACAATTCTGGTATCTCTGGGATGACTCCTACTTGGTCATGGTGTATAAGCTTTGTGATTTGTTGCATGCTATTTGCCAGTATCTTATTGTAGATTTTGCATCAGTGTTCTTTAGGGAGAATGGCCTGTAGTTCTCTCTTCTGGACAGATCATTCTTTGGTTTTGGTATCGGGTAATACTTGCTTCCAGGAATGATTTTGGGGCTATTGTTTCCCTTTCAATTTCATTAAAGAATTTGAGGAATAATGGCATGAGATCTTCTCTAAATTTCTTGTAGAATTCAACTGTGAATCTGTCAGGACCTGATGGCTTTCTTTGTTAGTAAGTTTTAAAGTACTTCTTCACTTTCATTGACAGATATTCCTCACATACAATTTTTATGTCTTCTAGACCTAGCTGTGATAATTCATTTTTATCCAGGAATCTGTCATTTCTTCTGACCTTGTACAGGTGTGAAATATAGAATCATGCTAGACCTTGGCTAGGGGTGGAGTTTGTTCACATATTTAGATCACTGTGGCCAAGCTCAGTTTTGCAATATATGCAAAGTATCCTCAACTTTGAACAAACTGCAATATTATATTATGATATATTATATCTACTTTAAAATTGTACATGGACTGCAGGACAATGCGAGACACACACTGGTAGGGATATCCAGATTTTAATATACTCTGAGAAAATTTGTAAATTTTATTTGTTTCTTTGCTTGCTTGCTTTTTGAGACAGGGCCTCACTATATAACTCCAGGTGGCCTTGAACTCACTTGCTAATCCTCCAGCCTTTGCTTCTGAAGCGCTGAGATTATTGGCCTGGGCCACCATGCCCAGCTAAATATTTGTAAAATTAAAAGTATGCAAATCCCAGAGATTCTACTACTTTAACATGCAGAAATCCCAAAATCATGCAAAAATTTTTCAGTTGAATGGAAAAAAGAGAAGTAAGAGAGTTTTGGAAAGATGTATGTTTAACAAAATGGAGAGAGCTGATGGTTCTTTTGTCAGCAAACTGAAATAGAAGCTGGCATTCAAGAGTAACAAATGAAGAGAGTGGAGAAAAAGAATGGAGAGTCTACAGCAAACTCTGGAGAATCAAGTAGCCAAATTAATAAAGGAGGAAATTGGTGGTGGACTAAAGTTTCCCAGCTGTATACCAAAAAGAGGAAGACAGCTTATCTGGTTCCAGTGGAGTGACTCCCCTGTTAGTGAAGCAGAGAGACTGAGTTGGGCCCAAGGGAGTTCCAACACTGTCCTCTGAGTTTCCTGTCTCCTGCATTTACAATACACTCACCAAGTCCTTGGAGGAACCAGTGCAAATACTGTTCCAGTGACTCTGCTTTTTGAGTATGGAGATATGCATTCCAGAAATAAAAACCAGACACAAGAACATCTCTGGGGTTTCTGATTACATAAATCACCTTAAATAGAAAACATGAGAAAGGAAATTCAAAACAGCCATTTTCTATCATTTGATCTCTAACATTATAGAAATGTAGGAGATTTGAGAAAATCCCTATCAAATACCAATGAATATTTTAATGACTTAGTTGCAGAATTCAAGAATCAAATATACATTTTAGTATCCCTATACACTAGTCTCCATCATGATATAAAATATAAAATAGAAAGGAATACATTGTGCTTCCCTCCTGAAGTAGCAGGCTTCTCATGAGGGGAAGCTTCTAGAAAGTTTATAAGGTGAGAGATGCATGTAACTGTGCTTTACTAGAATAGTAACACAGAAGACAAAAAATGCAGACATCTGGTTTTTTTACAATGTTTAAGTCTATGTATCGGGCCATCTGGTGGAGGAGAGAGTGCCAGAATAGATTAGACGTTCTCGCTATAGCAAGCTCAAACTGCGTCAGACTATTTTGATAATCTGTCACAGAGTGTTGCTTGCAAAGACATCTCCATTCATATGTCATGGGTGTATTAATGTAAAGGTCACTGGAGGGATAACTGGAAAAATAGTTGTAGCCCAGCAAGTATTTTCCACCAAGAGTGGGAAATAATTGTAAGGCACAGGGAAAAAAATTTCTAGAGAAGTAAGAACGTTCAAAATCTGGTGGATGATGCTTAGCAGTTATATACACATATCTATATTCATCAAGCTGGTGTTAAGATTAGTGTACACCTCATACTCGCTTTCAAAATTCCTTGCAATGTGAACAACACAATTTTATTTTGAATTTTACCTCAGTTATATTTGGGACATTATTCTTAACTTCACCTCTTATTAAGCTTCAGTTTCCTACTGCAAAAGAATTAGTAAACCCTAATAAGACACATGTAAATAGGTGCACCAGCACAATTTTATTGTGCTGCAAAATTGTAAAGCTAATTCTCTAAAGACAGAGAATATTTTCCAACTTTTTCAGTGTAGTATAGGAAACACATCCAAACAGGTAACAAACAAATACAACTTGTGTAAGTAATATATTTTAAAAATTATCCATGATCTGTTGGTCCTAGCTAGTCACCGTTCCCTCTGAAGATGCTATATATGTAGCATGGGAGACTGAAGTCGATGGTGGTCTTAATAGACAGCTTTATCCAATAATATCAGGACTCAAAATATTCAGCCAAGACTTCGGAGTAGGCATCTGGAATTAGGCATTGACTTGTGAATCTACATACATTTTAGATAATTCTGATTTGGTTGGTCACACCTACATGATGGGAGGCATTGTTTTGAATTAAAGTTGGCTAATTTGTCTTTCATAACAACAAAACTTCACATATTATCACACATATATCACTGACTTCCATCTGCCCACCTCCATAGCCAGGCAAATTCCTAGAATCCCCGATTCTCAGTAGCCTGAGGCCAGGGACAGTGTGTACTCTGCAAGGACACAGCACACTCACCCCGAGTGCTATGTCACAACTCACCCACCACAGAACATTAATCAGTGCTACGTGCATACTCAGCCATTCTCACTCCCAGAGTCTCACACCCCAATTCTTTTCACCTCATTTAAACTCATTCCACTAACCCCCTCTAACCATATCCACCAAAGACCCAGCCCAATGAACTGGACTTGAAATCTCCTTTGGAGTTACCCCAGGAGATCCTGCCTGGAATCCCAAGTTCAGGCTGGCTATGTTCTTTACTGGGTAATCACCATTTACCTAACAAATGTGCCTGTGTGTGTGTGTGTGTGTGTGTGTGTGTGTGTGTGTGTGTGTGAGAGAGAGAGAGAGAGAGAGAGAGAGAGAGAGAGAGAGAGAGACATACTTTCAAATATATCTTAAAATTTATTTTTCTGACACTTCCTCTTACTTATCACTCTGCCCCTAAATTCTGTTTAGGATAATCTGAAATGTTCCCCATCTTGTACTCTTGAGTGGCATGAGAAGCAGCTGAGTTACCCCCACCTGATGCTTGAGAATATCAAGTCCTAACTTGATCTAGGATGTGGGAATTATTTTTGGCAAACGATCAGGGATAAGAAGGTACACTCAAATTTCAGAAGCATTGAAGAAACAGTTCTCCACTTTTGGGCACTCACCTTGGCCTTTGAACTGAAGAAAGACTTTGGGAATAGATGGAAGGGTAGGTGGGAGCTGATGAACATAGGTCTCTCCTTTCCATTTATTAATTCATTCCCATCTTTTGTCTCTATCCAAGGAGAGCGATACCAGATAGGCACAGATTGGCTCCACTTGGGATCCCCCTTGGAGTTAATCAGGCAAACAATCTCAATCACCCAGTTGATTCCTGAATAAATATGGAAAAATGAGTTGACTCACTTCTATTTGAATTGTGAAAATTTTGTCATAAAATACACATAAATAATATTTCTCATCATGACACTTTTTTAGCACATATCTTTGTAGTGCTAATAGTGTTAAGAATATTCCCATTTAATTCACTTATGAGTATGGTGTCAAGTTGTATCCATATACCTATGAAAATCTCAAGTTTATCCTTCTAACATAACAATATGCAATATATTAACTGTGGTTGTTTTACTATTCTGTTATGGAATCTTGTATTACTTTTTTCATATAAAAATAATATTCCCGGGGCTGGGGATTTAGCTCAGCGGCAAAGCACCTGCCTGGCAAGTGCAAGGTTGTGAGTTCGGTTCCCAGTACCAGAGAAAAACCAAAAAATAAAATAAAATAAATTAAAAAATAAATAAATAAAAATAAAAATAATATTCCCATTGCTGTTTAGCCAACCTTCCCAAAACTTCTTCTTTCAAAACAGAGACTCTATTTAGTAACAATTCACACCACTCTTAATGCTGGCCACAAGCATTCAACTTTTTTTGAGGAAATTTCACTGATAGAGATATTTAAGTTTAGTGGGATCATATTGTATTTGTCTTTTTGAGATTAATTTGTTTCCTTCCAGAAATGCTCTCAAGATTCATTCATAAGACCAAAAACAAAACAAAACAAAAAAAAAAAAAACACAAAGATTCATTCATATTGCATGTTGTGTCAAAATGTTCTGCATTTTTAAGGCATATTGATCATTTTATCTATAGCACTTTTTGTTTAAGCATCTATCAGTTAACAAATATTGGGAGTGTCTACATTTTGACCATTTTCTGAAATATTTTTCATGGTATTTCCATTCCTCCTGGCTTTTTAACACTATGTGATTTTCCATGATAGCAGCACTGATCTTCCCGTTTGTATTGTTCCTATCCCCAACTTCACTCTCATCAGCGTCTAATTCATATCCTTTCTGTTGAGTTTCAGAGGCTCTTTTCCAATTCCTGGCCATACTCATTAATCATTCTTCTTCCTGAAAATATCCCTTCCTCACATAATCTGACATCCACTCTTTTTAATTTGATTCAGACACCCTTTCTACTGGTATTTAGTTTAGAAATGTCATTCTCTTCCACCCCTTTTCCCAGGACATAACAAAGACTGAAAATGCCGTAAGTTTTACTAATATACATTTCCCTAATACTTTAGACAATCCCCCTTCGACACCTGATCCCAATGCATAAATATCTAGCTACATCTTTTTCCTTAAGGGGAGTGCTATGATGCATTGCTCTATGGTTCCCAAAGCACTCTGTATTATCTGGCATATAGACGGTGTCCCATCCATTGTTGAATACCTTACAATCACAGTCATAGCCTGTATAATGGAATATTTGTGGTCCCATTTCCTTACCTGATTTGGGGTAAGCGACTGTAAATATATCTTCATCCTGCAGCACAAACTTGTCACGTACTTCTTTTATTATTTCACATTTCAAATATTTGGAAGGAAAGGGTACCCCTTCAAACCACACATACTGATCTGACATGATGATGAGCTCTCTGGGAGCTGTTAAGATTCAAGTTGTATCTTTTGTTTTATATTTTGGTAGGTGCTAAAGGATCTGATTTCATTGGTAGCTACAGAGCAAACATTCACTTTCATTTGTTGTCAAGCCAAAATTTGCTGACAAGGAGAAAGTGTAACGGGTGATCAAGGTTTGTTTACTAAGCAATGTGAAATCATTCAGAAAATATTCTTGCAGTGATGAGAACTTCAGTTCATGGTCACAACTAGAATTTCAAGAAGAAGTAAAAACACATAGAATTGTTAACAGATTTATAAAGGTTTTAAATAAAGTTTAATATTAGAATGGTCTGGTCTAGATAAATAGCTTTTTTTTTTTTTTTTTTTTGTCCTTTTCTTTGAGACAAGGTCTCACTATACAGTTTAGGCTGGCCTTGAGCTACCTTTGTGGGCCAGGATGGTCTTGAATTCACAACTATCCTCCTGCCTCAGCCTCCTGAGTGCTGGTATTACAGGTGTGCGCCACCACAATGAGCCTAAATTGCTAAGTGAATATGGATAGCTCACATAGTCAATTACGTATTTATATTTATTTTGGGTTTTCTCTAATGTCCTGTTTTTGCCTCAGGATTTCACACAGGATACCATATCTTGTACCAGCATCATGTCTCCTTTGACTGTTCTTGACTGTGACAGTTTTTCAGATTTATTTAATTTTTGGTGACCTTGAAGTTTTGGAGATTATGGGTCACTTTTTAGAATGTTCTCCTATCCATTTTTCTTGGTTGGTGTTCCATACCTAGATTTAGCTCATAGCATTTAAAGAGGAGCATTCTAGATAACGTAGTCTTTTGGTTTGGATCTTAAATATTCTCCATCATGTCATGTGTATAAGTATGTTCCCCCAGGAAATAATGTTCACAATGTAGCTATTGGGAGGAAATTGAATCATTAGATCTCCAAACTTCTGCCTGGATTAATCTGATAATGGATTCATAACTTAATTGGCTGTTGGTAATCTGTGGAATTCTAAGATTTGGTGTCCTACTGAAAGTACAATGTCATCAGAGGAGCACACTTAAGGGGTATGTCTTGATTCTGGTCACATTTCTCCCCTCTTTCACATCTGTTATCCAGGAAGAGACCACCTGTCTGTTGCCAAACAATTATGCCAAGATTTGCTTCCCCACTCTAGACCTGAAAGGAACCAAGCCAAGCACATATTGAGTGAAATTTCTGAAAATTTGAGCCAAAATGATCCTATGATCTTAACCATGATCTACCTCACAGTTACAGAAAGCTTGCTGAAATATTCTCACCATCAGCATAACAAGAGTACTTCCTCTTAACTAGCATTGATGGTGTGGAACTTGGTTCTCAGAAGCAAGGTTTCACTGAATCCCTAATGCAAATTCATTTTCTGACCTATCCCCTAGCTGTATGTACATGTTTTACACATGAATCCTAGCCCAGAATATATCCTTGTAAATGGATTCTATCAAGTCTTATAGAGGGACATTCTACTAAATGATGGTCCTGAATGCTTTTAATTGTGACATTCTTGCAAAATAATTTAAAAATCCTAGCACATCTTCCAACTGAGAGGAATATATTAACTAAGTATAGTGAGAGTCCTAGGTGGATCTTGTGCTATACACACCCAAATCTTCAGAGTATGATAAGGAGACAGTTGACCAACTTTCAATAGGTAACATGGATGAGATAATAATTTTGTATAAGTTAGATGCTCTGTTTTCTATAATTTTATCTTGAACATATAAGTCACATCTGTGTTCTTAGGAAACATACACTGAAGCTTTGATGAGACAAAGTAAAAGGGATCCATGACCTACTCTGAAATAGATAGGAAAAACTTAACTTTGTATATGGAGTGAAGAGAATGTGACTATGTGAAAAATCCTGGAAAATCCTTCATTGGTGAATCCGTGTTATCCATCCCCAGATGTTTTATGTGGGTTTCATTACTTTGTAAGTTTTTAAAGCTTGAAGATAACTCAGAATATAAATTTTGGATGAAATCCATTACCCTACTCCAATTCTAGACTGCAAGGAGTTTCAGATGAATTGCAGCTTCTTTGAACACAAAAGTCAAGAATTTATGGTGGATTGACTAGGTCTGCAGGTGCATTATATTGGCTGAGAACTCAACTACAGTACCAAATCCTCATTATCCATTTGAATATAACCATATTAAGAAAGTATTGTGTGCTTTCAGCTTGCAAGGATGAACCTAACAGAATTCTCAAATGTACCACATCAAAGATCCCTAACAGGCATATTCTTTCTTTGGTCCATGGTATTTCTTTCCCAGTGCATCACTGTGAATACACTGGCTTCAAATACTTATGCAAAATTCTAAAGGAAGTGTACTAGTCACCTTCATATTCCTGGCACAAAATACTGACATGACAACTTAAAGGAGATGTTTACTCCTGGTTATTATTTTCAGTCCACTGCTGGCTGGCTCCAAGGCAGAAATGTCATGGTTTAAGATCCTGCCGAGGAAATCTATTCAAACCATGGTAGGCTGAAGGAAGGAAGAAAAAGGAGGTACCATGAATAATGATACACGTTTCCAGGTCTCACCAAAATCACCCAGTTCCAACAAGGCACTACCTATGAAGCGCACATTCAGTTACTGAACCTATCAATGGACGAATCCACTACTGACTGCAGTGTCCCCATGATGCACTCACCTTCCAAACGCAAGAGACTCTGAATGACCTTTTATAAACAAACCCTAGTAAGGGGGAGTCCTTGCATGCATGGTCTGCCTGTTCTAGGAGTACCTGGAAATAGCTACATTTCTAAGGTTTTGGCATAGGCTTTTGTGAGCTTCACTAAGATCATTTTGGCAATGATCTGTTCCTCATGTGGAAGGCAAAAATGTTGAAAGTAGAATATTTGTTAATCAAGAAGTATAAATGGCCCATAGATACATCAAAAATGCTCATGGTTGCCGACCATTACAGAAAGGCAATTAAAACTACATTGAGAAACCATCTTACCTTAGAAAGTGCAGCCATCATCAGGAGATCAAATAATAATAAATGCTGGAAAGGATGTGGGAGAAAAAGAATTCTTCTAAACTCTTGGTAAGCATGACAACTAGTATTACCACTATGGAAATCACTAAGGATATTCCTCACAAAAGTAAAAATAAAAATTACATTTGACCCTCTTCTGGGTAGAGTTAAACTCATCAGATTATAGGAATACATGTATATATGCATGTTCATAGCATCACAATTCATAATAGCTTGTTCTTGGAGACAGCGTGGTTTTTGGCCATCAACTGATAAATAAAGAAAATGTGGTCTGGATACACAATGGATGACCACATTGCCATAAAGAAAAAAAAACTTGATGCATTCCTAGGAAAATGGATAAAACATTAAAATATAATGTAAAGTGAAATAAGTCAGATATGCATGCTTAAATATCACAGGATTTCCCTTATATGAGAAACTAAATATATATCTCAAAGATGCATAAATAAAAAGGGAGACATGAAAATAATGACTCAGATTATGTGCTCCATTGTTCAAAATTACTTTAGTATATATACTTATTTTTATTTATAGTACTAGTTTAGTGAAAAGAAAGTTTTGTACTTTTATCGATTTGTTTCTTCTTGTGGGGCTCATTTTGTCCATGACTTGTACTCTGAATATCATTTTGGCCATTCTTGTAACATTATGACATCCAGGGTAATAACTGTTGCTATTGTTTAGGTATTTTGTTTTGAATTTTTGTTTTCTTTGTTCATAGAATCAAGAAAGGTAGGGAGTGGCTCAAGCTGGACATTGGTCACATGGGTGCAGGGCAGGACAGGGACAGAGTGCCTAAAGCAATCAAGCTACCTCAGTCTTAAAAAGGACATCCTGCCTGGACAATTTTAGTCAATAGTCACAGATATCCTTGCATCTCCTGATACTAGCATTGCCAAAGTATAAATAAGTGCCCCTGTGGTGATTTTCCAGTCCTCTTTTCCCATGCCATAAAGGCCTCCACCTGACCTTAGCGCTTGTGTCTTGTCTTTTTTTTCTACATCCCCTCACCATTTCTCCCTAGATCCACCGAGAGCTGTGCAAGTCATGACAATTTGCTACCTAAACAGGGACACCCAGGGAGGAGTCTCATAGGTGGGATGCTTCTCAGAAAATTTTGCACAAAATAGAGTGGACAGAAGCACACTGTTAGGTCAATAGTTAGCACAAGAGTGTCCTATCGGCAATTACCAGGTGTAAAAATTGGGGCATGTAGGTCTATTGGCCTTAAAAAAATATAAGAAATAGTGGTATAGGCAGCTGAGTTAGATAGACATATAGGCAGTCAGACAGAGCCAGGCCCTAGAAGGAGCCAATATGGAAGACAAGATACCATACAAATGGAGAGGTGGTACTTGCTTTGGGCCAGATCTCAGGACCAAAGACTAAACAAATACACCCACATACCTCTCTAGGGATGGACATCAGGGATTGATATTCTAAATAGGTAGCAATCACCTTGAAGAGTCCTTGACCTAACCCCTTACAGGAAAAGCCCCTGTTCTGTATTCATGCCAGCTTGCTACATGACTCAGTTACCCGTTTGATCCTAATTTAATCAATTTTACCTGAACAGTTCTTATTAGCTGACCATAGTTTTGTCCATTTTTCCCCTACCTTGTACCTACCTCACCACGTGGTTTTGCTCTATAAAAGCCCCTAGAAAACACAGAGTCTTTGGTAACCCTCTCGGACCCCCCTTTTCTCCCTCTCTTGGACAGAAGCTTTCTTTCGCTCAATAAATATACTCTGCTCTTAACCTCCATTGCTCCTAAAATTCATTCTCCAATTTTAGAGAACACAGACTCATCCCAGATGTTGTTCAGGTTGGGAGTTTCTGATTGGTTTCTTGCCCTGCTGTAATTCCAGCTGAGTTGCTACAGCACTCAGCCAATATGGCACTGCAGGTCATGTGGTATGGTGCTGAGTCACTATGGTGTTCAGCCAATATGGCGCTGCCCACTAGAGGCCATCTTTCTT